TATATATTATTTTTTCAGTGCTGGCTTGGTCCACCCCGAGCGAAAGAGTTCAGCACAGAGCAGGTAGCATATTTGGATGTTCGGAAAAAACACACAAAAAAAATCCCAAAAAACCTTTTCATGTGCGAGGCAGATGTGGCGGCTGTCCGTGTTGTAGCACTGAGGAGAGCCAGAGAGGGAGCGAGATGGGGAGACGAGGGGAGGGAGACAAAGGAAGAGAGACACGGGTTGGAGAGGGGGAAGGAAGGTCACTCAAACCTCACCTCCTTCACTTTAGAAAGAGTGTGTGTGTGCGTGTGTGTGCGTGTGTGTGTGTGAGAGGACGAAAGAGAGTGAGGGGTAGGGAGAGATCAGACACAATTATGTCACTGCAGCGGGGGCAACCCCCCCCACCCTCATCTAATGCTACATCCATACTACTCAGTTTCTACTCCGTTTCTACTTGGAAGCAGAGTTGTCAAATACAAACAATCTCCGTCCACACGGCCGTTTCAGCATTATTCTCGAATTGATCTGCATCCACACGGCAACCTTCGAAGGCGGACAGCAGTGACCACCTTTATTCATCCATTGCCAAGAAGACGGGGGGGGGGGGGGGGGGCAGTAACTTGTATATGGACTCAAGCACCGAACTGAAGTGTGTGGTTTTCATGTATTTCACTTTAGTGTTTGTACTTTGTCACATTTCAGAAGGCAATTATTGAACTTTTTTTACTTCACTGCCTTACTTTGTACCTTCATGTTTTACACAACGATGAACTGAAACAGATTCAACCACCAAACATAGGTAAAACACTGCTTGTGCATCAATATAAATAATCCACTAACTGTATGAAAACACTGACCTGTGTATACTTGTACTTTTGATACTTGCATAACTCACAATGCTATATGTACAGTTTTGCTTTGCAACATTTTTGCCAGTGGTTAAATCTCCACTGCATTATGAAAATACTCCATCACAATGCTTTAAGTAAAAGTACACCCGGGGCCTATTATTAACATGTATTCAAAGCATTTCAAGTAAAAAACACCCATATTTCTACTCAAAAAATACCACGTTCTTTATATATTATTATACTAATAATCATTGTTACTGATGCATTCACATGGAAGTGTCTTTTTCTACTCGTACAGCTGCTGGAGGTGGAGCTAACTGTAATCGATAGCATGCATGTGACTTACAAGCTGCATCGCGTGTTATTTGCACGGAAACGCTGCCTCTGCAAAATAAACGGGTCGTAAAAACCGGAAACGCTGCCTCTGCAACGTGCAACTAAAGCTGTCAAATAAATGAAAAAAAAAAGTGGCATTAAAAACCTGCCGTTAAGCACAGAGGCTGCTTGAGTAAATGTACTTACATTCCACGAATGCGTTACTTGAGGGGGAATAGGGTTGTTTTGCACTGTTGTGTTGTTGCAACTTTGACTTAAGTGAAAGGGTCTGGAGGTGGATGGATGAGATCAGGACAAAGAATAAAAAATACCTCTTTCCAGTCCAGACCCCCCCCCCCCTGCACCAGAGAGACGTAGGCACATGAGGGAAAGGGAATGAGGAGAGAGAGGATTTCCCTCGTAAAACACAAGTGTGAGGCAAAGGGAGGGACGTCACCCTCGAGAGAGAGAGAGAGAGAGAGAGAGAGAGAGAGAGAGAGAGAGAGAGGAGTGAATGGAGGAGGATATTACTATACTTCATGGGCCGGTGCAGAGGAGCGGAGCAAGTCATTCTTCTGAGGCGCACACACGGACGCACAACAAAATAATCCGAAGAGAGGAGCTGACGCGCGCCGAAACCGCAATTATTTCAATATAATGGAATAATATTTGTTTTCAGAGGTACATGAATTGTCTGCTCAACAAGTAGGGCGGCTGGCACTTTGCGGTGCACTTCAGTTCGCCTCCGGAGTGACTTTTGATTTTTTTAAAATATATAATATTACTACTCCGATTCACCTTGCAGACATATTTGTTTTGGGAACGGGACGCACTGAATGATGATGCCGCTGTGGGTCAGGTAAAAAGAAACGAGAGGCTTTGCGCAAAGTCAGCAAGGAGTGAATTCACCTGATTTATTTGTGCAATTCAGATCTGCATTTAATCTTTTTTTTGTTGAATAAGGGGAACTGCACAGCCTTAGTAATAAACTGATTATGTGTCTGTTGATTTCAGTTTTAAAACAGTTTCTTTACTGAAACACAGACAGACATAGTTGCACGTTTTCTTTGCGACCTGTAAACAGAAACAAAGTGACAGATGCTGTAGATATTTTGAGCGTACACGAACGGAACGGAAAAGATTTCGGATGAACTTCTGTGATTCTGTTAAACCTGTGGCTTACTAAAAAAATCAAGCAGAGCAAACATAGCCTATACCAAGAGCCTCAATATGCAATAAGTTCCACGTGACAAACCTAGAATGAAATTTTGAACCCTTTGGAATGCACTGATCGTTTATCACAAAATACATATACTTTAATCCCCCAAGAAGAGGCAGCCAAAACAGTGTGGTTTTATTGCTGGGTAAATGTGCGCAAACAAATATAATAACCACAGTCTGGTGTGAGACCTCCTGCGGCTGACCCTGAAGCCAGATACTTTTTATAAGAGCTAACCTCCCCACCACCACGTTATCTTCAACAAAACCCATTGAATACCTTCCCTAACTCGAGACAATGTTGTTGATCAGACTACTGGCTATTTTCCTCATCCTCATCACCAACACGTGGCTGCTCAGCCCAGTTCGCTCTGACGCACTCCGCCGGTACAAACGCACCATGGCCCAGCGGGCGGACCGCGAGCTCTCCAGGCTGGCAGGTGAGCCCTGCACTGTCTCGGGCGTTTGGAGGTCCCGGCGGCAACCGCGCTCCGACTCTCCGTCCCAACACCGCCCTCAAGCGGCCCGTCCGAGGACGCGCACGAGCCGGAGAGAGCTGTACACTGTTGGGAGCGCTCTCGCGGTTTGTGCAGGAGGATGCAGGTTTGACACCGGGGTGCGCCGGTTCGCTCCGGCGGGGGAGGATAAGCGAGGCTGGGCCAACGTAGAGGATGTGGCGGTGGGAGCAACGTTTCCCCGGCAGCTCTTCGAGAAACGCTCCACTAACGACCATGTCCGTGAACACACCACACAGAAGCCCGGGGTGTCTTTGCTTAAAGACGCCGGGCAGACCGTCTCCTCCTCTGGCCGTGCAAAGTCCCCACGCGCCTCCCGCTCCAGGTTCACCCGCAGCCTCGGCGGGACGTTTCCTTACGCGGACGACGGCAACTCCAGCTGGGAGAAAGTTTCCCCCGACAGCTCAACCGACACCACGGGGCTCCAGGTCCTCTACAGGCTGCGGCAGGATGATGGAGACCAGCAGTCCTCGACCGGGACCCTGGAGGACAGCACCGAGGACTACTCCGGGGAGGTGGACGAGGCTGATCCACCCGCGAGTCTGCCCGTCGGCAGCTCATCTCCCTGGGGGAGTCCCGTGCCCAGGGTTCCCCCCTCCTGGATGACCGCCCTGTACTTCGGCGGGCGTCGGGAGCAGCTGAAGGTGAAGCCGGCTGCGGGGGTGGAGCTGCCGAGGGCCAAGTTCAGCCTGGAGCTGTGGGTGAAGCCCGAGGGGGGGCAGAGCAACCCGGCGATCATAGCAGGTGGGTGAAAAACAGGAGTTAGCTTTATTCTAAATAAATTAGATTTATTCTGAATAAGTTAACTTTATTCTAAATAAGTTAGCTTTATTCTAAATGAGATAGATTTATTCAGAATAAATTAGATTTATTCTAAATGAGTTAACTTTATTCTGAATGAGTTAGATTTATTCCAAATAAATTAACTTTATTCTACTTCTACTCCACTACATCTCAGAGATATTCTAAATGTTGTACTTTTTACTCTACTAAAGTACTTTTGAGATAACAACTTCTCATACACTTCATGTGCAGTGAAATCCACGTAGTTCCACATTTTACTGAACTTGAATGTTTCTGATAAACTGGACTTAATTAATGATAATCAAAAAACACATCATATAAAGTAGTAGAACACTGAGAGGGAGCATTTTACCCCCCCCCCCCACACACACACTTTCTACCTTGTAAATCCCAACAAGAACACACAACAAATAATAATAATAAAATGAATTTTACGATACAACTTTGACAAATAAGGCTTTGGATGCAGGACTTTTACTTAGTTGAGTATGTTCACAGTGTGATGATAACTGTAGTACTTTTACTTCCTGGAAGTAAAGGATCTAAATACTTCTTCCACCACTGTTTAAAAGGGAATTATCATGGCCACACACTGAGCTGGGGATTGATGCCCCATGACAGTAAATTAATACAATAATTCATTATTTCCCCTTCAATCACACTGTCCCAGTCTGAGATGTTAGTTTCTCTAGATCTGACCCTCTCGCTGGTCATTCCTCTGGTGTCTCTTGTCTGCTCTCCCGCTCATGGTGCTGTATGTCATTACAAATAGCTTGTGACACTTGTTCTACACTGTGTGCACAATTATTAGGCAACTAAATGACAAACGAAAATTTTCCCATCTCACTAGTTTATTTTTATCTGTTAAAGTGAGAATAATAAAATACCAGCTAGTTGGACCTTTTCGGGTTGAAGATGGACTCTAAATCAACTCCCAAACCTACTGCCAGTTTTTAGAACACACTTTCTTCAAGCAGTGGTCCACGAAAAAGTCTGCATCTTTCAAGAAGACCATGATTTTTATGCAGGACAAAGCTCCATCACATGCATCCAAGTACATCCCCCTTCCTCACCTGGCCTTAACTCTATTGAGAACTTGTGGGCCCTTCTTAAACGGGAGATTTATGATGAAGGAAACCAGTTCACCTCTCTGAACAGTGTGTGGGAGGCTGTGGTTGAGTGACAGAATCCATGAATGAAGGCTTATTACTGTTGTTGAAAAGAAGGGGGGCTATATTGGTCACAGATTTTTTTTTTAAATGTCAGAAATGTTTATTTGTCAATTCTGAGTTGTTTGTTTATTATTCTTACTTTAACAGATGCAAATAAACAAGTGAGATGGTAACATTTTCGTTTTTCATTTAGTTGCATAATTATTGTGCACACATAGATATTCTCCTATAGAAAGCCGAAACCTCACTTTTACTTTCTTAAATATTCAGGTTTGAGGTTTATTAAGATTTTGGATCGACCGAGAGCACCGTAGTTGTTCAATAATAAAATGAATCCTCAAAAATACAACTTGCCTGATAATTGTGCACACAGTGTATATCTGGTGCCCCTAACAGCATTTAGTTTGGCCCTTTTAACAGAGAGGTTTGTGTTAACTGCTTTCCAAGAGAAAGATACTGGTCTCATGAGGCTGCTTTTAAAGACAGAGTTCATCCAGGGTTTTTATGCTGTTTCTGTTCCCACTGCAGACACGGTGACAGTGATGACGAGAAATCACAGTGATCGGGATACGTGATGACATTCCTTTTTTAAAATGCCATTTACTTCAGATAGCAACTTAATTATGTCGTTATGTCCACTAAACCAACGTTGTTATCTCGAGATAACGAGATAACGAGATAATCAACATATCGCGAGAAAACAGACGTTTTCTTCTTCTTATAACCTCTAATGTTCCCAGAGATCAGGAGTACAATGCCAGCATGCATAGAGAGGACTGAGGAGCTGTCCCTAGCGTCTCCAAAGTCAAATCGGCTGATGTTGTGCACCCAAGAACCAGGTGGTAAACAAAATAAAAAATAGGTGATCCTGTATTAGAAGAATAAGCCAATCACTTCCACCAGAATATGAAGTTATTTGGACTCATTCAGTCCCCCTCACCTGGCTCACCTGTGGGTCCCCGTTGATGACGGAGAGCGAATCATTACGTTTGAAAACGCCGACGTCAAACAAATGGAAGAGGATGAAAAGCGCTGTACGGTGCAGATAGTTACGTCCGCTCACATTCACTCTGATCAAAGATCCGACTCCATTGCTTAACTTCTTTCCCTCATTGCTTCCTCATGTGAAGGCATCACGTTTTCTTTCGAGAAAAACAAACTCTCATTGTCTCTGCTAGATGTCAGTGACGTTGACATCGGTTTGAGTCCTAATGGTGATTGATTATCTGAATGAAATCTGTTTGTTTGTACAATGTGTCCTTTATTGTTATGTTACTGTACGCTGCCGGGCAAACAATGTCATGATGACACTGAATCTTTTCTTCTTAGTAGTATGTATTGTAATTACGTTACTGCATCTGGCGATACTAATGTGTTCACTGACAGTATTGGCCAAAAACAATTACCAGTATTGGCCAATATATTGGTCTAGCAAATTAAACAAGCGTGCAGGTCTTAAAACTGGACTTTTAAAGATTTAGGAGAGAGGTTTAAAAAGTTTGAAACCCCTGCTTCCTTTTAACCCGTAGACCACCTTGTTTTCTCCTTTTGAATTTGAATGAGTCCTATGTGGTAAAAAACGGGCCTTTTAAAAATGTTATGTCTTTGAGTTTGACACAAAAAACTATCTTTTCATGCCGTTTTAAATCGTCACTACATACCAGTCATTCCCAGCTAAATAATACACTTTTAGTATTTTTGAAGCGGCACCAATCAATATTTTATATTAACACGACAGCGTTTTAGCGTCTTTCAGCTCGTTGTTTTGTTGTTGTGGCCCAGAACTTTGCTGTTTAGCTCTCAATGCTCCCTGAATGTGTAAAATAGGCAATCGTTAGCTAACATGTTCTCAAATGTCATATTATGTCAGTGTTGTGTTCAAACAACAAAAATGAAATGCAGCTTTCAAACATTAGTAGCCCTCCCCTGTGTGATAGTGCTAATGCCTCACAACATAAAGACCACGTTTCCCATAAAGCTTGTCGTTTCCTGTTGCAAACACAATGTTGTCAGTTCTTTGGCAGTACTGTTTCACCACGGCCATCTGCTGCTGAATAAGACACGGAAAGTTTGAGCTCAAATTCAAACACAGCCCCCCCCCCGTGTTGTTGATTGGTTTACTCATGATTAAGTGTAAAAAGTAGCACCTTTAGCATTTCATGTGTTACAGTGGAAATGCAGAGATTGATACTAATGTATTTACATTTGGTAATGCAGTATAATCCAAAGCCATAGCCTCCTAACTGCTGCTTTCTTTAACCACGGAAACCGGCTCACCTCCTGAGGGATTATTTCTCTGCACTTCACGCACACTGTGTGTAAACACACACACATGCGTTTGGGAGGGTGAAGGGGTTCCCTGACCCCTCGCTGTCCCAGTATTACACATCTGGGGAGCAGATGTGTATCTGTGTGTGTCAGATGGAAACATCAGGGCCATGCCATGGCTGAGTGAAATACCTCCTTCCCCTCTGGGTTCTCTCCCTCCGTCTCTGTCTATTCTCCAGGCTCCGTATCTGTGTGTCGGCCTCTTTGTGCCTCTCTTCCTGTGTTGCCCCATGTTTTCCTGAGCGAAATAGATAATTTCTTGCTGTCGTTTGACTCTGCAAGATAACGTTGGCAGGTTTTGTTGTTTCTTATTAATTAAAAATTTATATTTTTCTTTTCCCCATTACCCCTTTGACATAGGTGTATTTGACAACTGTTCCCATTCACTGAGTGAGAAGGGCTGGTCGGTAGGCATCCGGACCGTGGAGCCCGCCGGCGCCAAAGATGCGCGCTTCTACTTCACACTCCGCACAGACCGAGCCGTGAAATCCACCACCGTCTACAGCCACCAGCGGTACAGAGCCAACGCCTGGACCCACCTGATGGCCACTTATAACGGCCACAACATGAGCCTTTACGTCGACGGTGCTAAGGTGTGTGCTTTTGGTTGAGCTGTGGTTCACAGTTTGGTTGAGTTCGGTCGTCCACCTTCGTCACTGTCAACTCGCTGATGACCGAAATACAATGGTGGTATTTTGACAAAGCAATCCTAACTCAAGGTCCACTCACTAGCTTTCTCCGGGTCTTTCACCCACATCACATGATCATCTATTTCCGAGGTCTTTCACTCTTAGCCCTAAAAGTGCCACGGATGAAATCACAACAGCTACTGAGCTCGCGTCGATACTGCACATTTCTACATCATCCAGCGCATGAGGTCGTAGGACAGAGTGAGGGCCAATAGTAGTTTCTCATTGGGCCATGCTAGACTTAGAAATCATTTTGGGTAACAAATCTGGTGGTTGAACAATCCCATCAGCATTGCATCATAATATTCACATGCAAGCAGTTGTTTTTTTGTCTTCTGACAGAGGACAGGACACCTGTTTATGAATATTGAGTGAATATGTAGTGTGCTTTTAATTTTGTTGACAACCAGATGGAGAGCTCCCCAAGTGACATCGCCAAAACAGCAGCTGTCCAACCCTGGCAGACTAAATGTTCTCTTTTTGAAAAAGTCCAATGAATTCACAACATAATCTCCTCGGCTGTCGTCTCTCCTCCACCCTCATCCCTCAGGTGGGAGAGAGCAGTCTCCAGGCGGGGAATCTATACAGTCCCTTCATGAAGACGTGCAGAACCCTCTTCCTCGGCAGTAACCAATCGGATCAGGGACACAGCTTCAGGGGCCATATAGGGGGTGTGGTCTTGTGGGGCTACGCCCGCTCTCACGAGGAGCTGCTGAAGCGGCCACTTCTAAACGACAAAAGCGAGCCACTCTTGGCGATGTGGGCTGACTTCACTAAGGTAACTGACTATATTTCATTTTTACACTTTCAGAATTTCTTTTTTTATGTCATCATATTATTATCAGCATTACTTGTTTAATCATTATATATGGAAAGTGGTTTCTGTAGTATTAAAATGAATTAAAATTTTGCTTCTAACTTTGAGGTGGAAGAGGTATGGACTCCATACAAAGTTGGCCTCCATCCAACCGTCATCACCACTCCCGTCCCTGAACAAGAACTTGTCTCCTCGTTCCTGCCGCCACCCTGCGGCCTGACACCTTGCGACAACACCGACATAATCTTTGGCTACAACAACAACTGCCAGCTCCGTGCTACCAAGCGAGTGCGCTACCGGGTCGTCAACCTCTCCGATGACGATGGTGGGAACCCCACCGTGTCCGAAAACCAGATCCAGCTCCAGCACCGGGCTCTAACCGAGGCCTTTTGGCCTTACAACATCACCCTGAATCTGAGCGTGCACACTGCCAGAAACTCCAGCTTCAGACAGCGGTTCATCCTCAGCAACTGTCGAATTGGGAAGATCGGGAACCGCCAATGTGACCCAGAGTGCGACCACCCAAGGACAGGCCACGACGGCGGGGACTGCTTAAGACTGGGGGCCTGCTACAACTGGAAGAGGCAGGATGGAGTTTGTAACATGGAGTGCAACAGCATACATTATGACTACGATGATGGAGACTGCTGTGACCCGGAGATCACCGACGTCTTCAAGACCTGCTTCGATCCCGAGTCCCCTGACAGGTGAGGTTAAGAGACAAAAGTCCTGTCGCAACACAGATGCTAGTTTTATTCACTAATTATTTCCAAGTGCTGTAGTTAACTTCCTGCAGATTTTTCAAATTAGAAACTGATTAGGAAAGGAAGGGATTACTCACAGACTTTTATTGTGACACATTTGTGCAGGAAGTGTTCCGTAACAGTACCTAGCTTTTCTGCAATCCCCAAAAAACTGCAAAATAGAAGCAGCTGAAAACCTCCCCAGTGAATTAAAACAATATTTGTGTTAGAGTAGAGAAACTCAGCAGCAGAGTGGTAGGTGTGATATTACAATGCTGTGGAATTTCTGTTTTACTGAATTGATGGAGATAAAAGTTGAATTTGCAGATATCAGAGAGCAAGGGAAATTTGTCCTCGAGGTATAGAAGGAACCATGCATCTATTTTATAATTTATGGCAATCAAAATTCTAGTTATTATTCTAACGTCAGGTGGAATTTAAAAAGGAAATTATCATCTTTGTCTGTGACCGAGAAAGATACACATTAGTTGACAAAACAGAGACTCAGGATATTATGCTGCATTTACACTGCGTGGTCCAGCTTGACTTGATTAACTCTTGGTAGCAGGAAATGTTCTCAATTTAGTGTTCTGCTGCAGATAGTATCCCTTCCATGTGGGCTCAAAGCACTATTGACCATAGCTTGGGTATTTAAAATGGCGTTTTTTGTGCAGGATGTCCCGTGTTGCGACTTGACCAATCAGTGATCTGCAGTGTTTAACTCCACCTTCTAGTATCGGTTCAGCTCGCTTGGAACCTTGACTAAGGTGCTACAAAAAAGAAGCTGGTACATTCTATGACTTTTGCTCAAGGAAAACCAAAGACAGTACCTGGTACATCCATAACTTTTGTTGATGGAAAAACAAAAAAAGTACCTGGTACATCCAAAACCTTTGCTAGTGGAAAACTAAAGACAGTACCTGGTACTATCCATAACTTTTGTTAATGGAAAACCAAAGACAGTACCTGGTGCCATCCATAACCTTTGTTAATGGAAAACCAAAAAAGGAACGGTTCCAGGAAGGCTGAGTTGAATGGAGAGCATTTTAAGTGAATCGTTTTCAGGAGGAGGTTGTCGCTGGTCACAAACATTTTATTGAATTAACAGTACAGCAATCAGTCCATTGATACACTGTATATCAAGCTACGTATATTAAGACAGGCGAAAAATGTAAAAGCCTACATTGATGGAAAGATACAGCTGTGGAAGCACCAGGGGGATTGATATCAGCCAGTGAGGACAACATGTTTTTCCAGAGGCGAGAGGTCTCTGGGCATAAATGGCCACTAATAAGACCAGTTCTCCCCAGGAGGTGAACGTCTCATTGGGCTTCAGCAGGGGTGCATGCACAAATTAGTGCTCTCGCTTTCCCCCAGTGGTTTTAGAGCGACCTCTGTGAAATGGGGATGCTGGATGAAGAGGCCAAAGCGCACAGCAGCCCCGCTGCCTTCCGTTCGGTCTGACAGACAGCCTCATGCAGAGCTCCAAATAGCTTGCATGAAGTCTCACCGTGAAGTCAACGGCCCAGGCTCTTAAAGACCCCGTCCTCGATCCAAATTTTAACCACACACTTTACACTAGGCCACTGGGAAACAGAACATGGGAACTGGAGCTATTTCTTTTAAACCATTTAGCGCTTGATGTCTGGAGTTGACACTGAGTGACAGCTTAACACAAGGATGTATTCATGTTTTTTTTTTAAACCGGTAGAATTGTTATGTTTTCCTTTTTATACTTAGGTCACATTGACCTCCCTCACAGTTTACAACATGTGTTATTACACCTCCTCGTGTCATAATCCAAATCCAAAATCTTGTCACTAAAGCAAAGTTCAACTTTCCATCTTCATATTGCTTATGTAGTAGTATAGTGGTGCTGTAGTGCACTTCATTAAACCATAAACTGCACTACATATTTATGCAACTCTTACATACATGTGGCTTCTTCTGTATAATAATGTAGAATATTAAGTTGACTTGGTGTTCTGTTATACAATTGGTGTAAATTAAAATCCATATTTTCATCGTTTAGGTAGCAAATACAACAGGATTCAACATGATTCAAAATCCCAAATTATTACTTTGGCGTTTAATCCAAGACCTACATTTCTGATTCTATTAGTTTCAACCCAAAAGGTTATGAGAGGCAGAAAGCTTCCATGGATCAGAGACAAGCTTTTCTTCAGATAAACAAACTGTTCACATCATCACATTCTTTCAGAAATGACTGACCGTGATGGTTTATAGCTGCTGGACTATGAATAGAGGACAAACACGCGTTACCACTCGCAGATGGTGAGGAGGAAAATGTGAAATGTATAAATGATCACATACCAACAGAGGCTTATTGGTATTTTTGTCGGAAACTTGAGCTGATGGCTAACTGTTGGGTAATGTGAGTGATACAAACTTATTTTTTCCATCAGAGTTCCATTGAAATGAAAAATACATTTTCACACTTTCAATCCTGTGTCTCAGAGCTACTTGTTCATTTATATGTGGTTATGACAAACATATGTCAAAAAACAATTTCAGAATCCCCATCAAGTCACCGTCTGTTCTCTTCTGTAAAAGATCTAAAATGTTTGATGACTAGTGAGACTTTGGGACAACTAGCTAGTCATGCCGGTCATATAAAAACACATTTGTGGATCCTAGTAGGAGTGAACAGAACAATATAGAGAGAGAGAGAGATGCGTTTGGATATCAGTGGGCCAAAACTTTGTTTGCATTTCCAAAACAATGTAGCGTTTCGCCTTTCGTCTGCATGTACTTCCTGCACTGCAGTGACACTGAGCCGGTTGGAGGAAAAGAAGAAAGGAAGCAGAATGCACAGGCAAGAATGCGTCCCGGTTGATTCCACTGTTTGATTTACATAGTAGCAGCGGCCGACAGGTTAGCGAAGTATGCTTTTGATCGGAAAACCAACATCATAAACACTTGAAGTAAGCCGGACTGTATAGCTTCTGCGCCTTCCTTACCCAAAACACAAGGTGACCGTGACCTGTGCCCAGCAGCTGTGTGAATGTGAAACCGGCTGTTGCTAGAAAAGAACACACTGCTTGGCTGACTCTCCCTGGAAGACACAGGTTAAAGATGGGTAAAAGTAACAAGAAAAAAGAGCTGACCTGCATGTGTGTGGTCTCATTGCTTGGCCATATGCAGGAAGTTCGAAGTGTGTCACGAGTAAACGGTAATTTATGTCGTCTTGTCATGAGCTCGGTGGGATAGACAAAGCGAGACAGACTGGAAAAAACAAAGATTGGGTAGTTGTTATGGTCAGATGTTCCCTGTGCTCAGCCTGGGCTCTCCACCCTGCAGAGAGGAGATGGACTCTAATGAAACGAGCTGGACGGCAGACAGCATTTCGCTCCGTTGTTTTGGTCTGGTCCTTTGGCCCTCAATTATATGAAATGCTCAGTGATTTATTCTGCATTTAATTTGATGGTTATTGCAAAAGGATATTCCAACAAGAACAGATGAAAACACTTCCTCCATACTTACCTTTGGGTAATAACTGGAGTCTGTTTGTGTTTGATGCATGACAGGGAATTGGAGAGATCAATGTAATGTGCCGATGTTGATGTGAGCATGGCTCTGGATTGGATCTGCTTTTGTGAACGTTTCTGCATGAGAGACATCCATAAATAAGGCCTCTGCTTTTTTTTTTCAAATTTTGAATTTTAAATTTGCATAAAGTTGAGTTTTAGTCATGATTATGTAAACTCAGATGCAGTGAATCATCAGTCAACTTGCCGCGTCAGGTCGGTCACGCATAAGATCTGTCAACTTCACATACGTTAACGGAATTGGTGTATCTCCACCTGAAGTGGTTTTGTTGCCAACAACGTGTTACAATGTTAACCTCGACCGTTTCATGGTAAAAAGGCTGCTGCCAGGGTCATTACAGTCATGGCTTTTACCCAAACTGCAAAATATGTCGAGCGGGGACTTTGACACGCCCGCATGCATGTATGCGTTTGTCCCAACTGTCTCAGCGGAAGATGGCGTTTGTGGAGCACTGAAACATTTTTAATATTTTGGGATCTGGGTTTTTGATATTCTGATACTGTTTTTGATATTCTTCTCTCTGTGCTCTCTGACAGTTATTCAGATTGTGGGACCCTATATGTGTGCAGCTGCTGCTCGCTGGTACAGAGCCAGAGGTTTTTTTTTTTCAAGCCAGCTGCTTTCATGAAACAAATTTGTTGTTGAGAGCCAGTCCTAGAGCGATGGCCAGGTACATTGCAGATTCTGGCAGTACAATAAAGAAAAAGTCTGGAGGGGAAAGATGGACAGAGAGAAAGAGGGAGAGGCAAAGGTGGAGGGGGAGTTATTGGGTGGCAGGGGACATCATGTTCATTTAAGCTGAGACACATGTTCAAGATTTGCTAACCTTTCTTGGTCTGCAAATCCTGGACGGTGCACTTGAGTGCTAAGAGCAACTCCCCTGAAGGAACAAGGAGTTTTACATACACGTAAATCCCGAGTTTTATTGTGGACATGTTTTATCCACTGATAAAAACATAAGAGAGATGTTTCCCAGAGCAGTAAATGCATCTCCACATCTGAATGAGCTTGTAAGCCATAACAACTGTCCCTTTGTTAAGCCCCACCTCCCTTTGCTACTGTACTATGAACTCTGTCACAGTTTGTAAACAATGACGACGCATGGAAGTGTGCTCACATAGTTTGGCAACAGAAGCGTGGCGAAGTGCAACAGCTTGTCAGGTTAAGCAAGGCTGTTAACCACCAAAGATCGACAATGCGACCCTAACAAAGTTCCAGATCTGTGTGCTATCAGTGAGCGGGTAGGAAACAGTAGTGATACATTATGAGCACCAGATGCCTACAACTACATTGTATGTAGTTTTGAGTCTATTGAGTTGAAAATCAGTCCCGTGGTAGTCAACACGTTTAAGAGCTCGGAGCCATAGCCGTTGTTTAACAAGTCGCCACTGTTAACTGAAGACTCTCAGACCAGAACACGTAGGCGTCCTCGTAAAAGCCTTCAATCAATTTCAAAGTACAAACCCATCTGTGTTTATTATCTACACCAACCGCTTACGTAAGTTACGACGAGCGACCACGGACGCATTCGACGGAAAGTCACTAGTTTAAACGGTCACTGGTAATGGTTTTAATTTAATTTGAAGCTTGCTAGATCGTCTGGATGTCTGCGGCCAAACACCACTTCAAGAATCATGAAGCGGTGTTCTTTTGCAAAAGAGCATCTTGCTGAACTAAGCATGTAAGTGTCACAAACTTGCCACAGAGCTTATTTTCTGCGATAATCCAAAATCCAGTCGAGAAAAATCCAAGTGGCTTTTCGTAGCGGGAACCTGTGCGATGCTAACTTGCGGGGTCGGCCTTCAAAAAATATGCAGCACAACACATGCACTCTGGGAGAGATCGCGTTGGGAGGGATTACACACATGCAGATCTCTTGGCTGCTGAACAACACCTTTGGATCAATTTAGAGGCGAAGCGCTTCACCTTTGAAAGTAGTGTATGGGAGAATACGGATTACTGCTTTTTATGAATCAAGATTTTTCCCAGCAGAAAGCTGAGTATTTACGGTCACAAGCTCACCTGTGCGTCCTTCAGGCTGTTGGAACAATGCAAGCAGCGCTGAGCCAAAGCTGACGTATATTTTTAAAGAGCAGTTATAAAAATTACATTTCTGATGGAGAAAAAAAAAAAGAAAGTACTTCCTAATCTTTAAAGATTGTAGCATGGTTAAGTAATATTTATAAATTCGGCCCTATGGCTGAGTTTGACCAAAAGCATGAACTTATTTTTTCAGAAACCGACATAAAACAAATCATCCAAATACAACTATACAAGTAACTGAGGTAAAGATTCAAGTACGGCTTAGTAATGTGAACAAAGTTAGCCTCAGAGCTGAACTTGATCAAACCTCCTGCTGTAGAAACATAACATGAAACAATAATCCATTGCGTTATAATCTTTGAAAAACACTAATAAAACGATCCATGATTCATACATTTATACATTCAACATCTTTTTGTAAGTATGAACTGATTTGACTCAACGCTGTACTGATGCACCACTGGACGACTTGGCACTGTCGATATACAGTTGTGTGAAAAAGTGTTTGCCCCCTTCCTGATTTCTTATTTTTTTGCATGTTTGTCACACTTAAATGTTTCAGATCATCAAACAAATTTAAATATTAGACAAAGATAACACAAGTAAACACAAAATGCAGTTTTTAAATGAAGATTTTTATTATTAAGGGGGAAAAAAAATCCAAACCTACATGGCCCTGTGTGAAAAAGTGATTGCCCCCTAAACCTAATAACTGGTTGGGCCACCCTTAGCAGCAACAACTGCAATCAAGCGTTTGCGATAACTGGCAATGAGTCTTTTACAGCGCTGTAGAGGAATTTTGGCCCACTCATCTTTGCAGAATTGTTGTAATTCAGCCACATTGGAGGGTTTTCGAGCATGAACCGCCTTTTTAAGGTCATGCCACAGCATCTCAATCGGGACTTTGACTAGGCCACTCCAAAGTCTTCATTTTGTTTTTCTTAAGCCATTCAGAGGTGGACTTGCTGGTGTGTTTTGGATCATTGTCCTGCTGCAGAACCCAAGTGCGCTTCAGCTTGAGGTCACGAACAGATGGCCGGACATTCTCCTTCAGGATTTTTTGGTAGACAGCAGAATTCATGGTTCCATTTACCACAGCAAGTCTTCCAGGTCCTGAAGCAGCAAAACAGCCCCAGACCATCACACTACCACCACCATATTTTACTGTTGGTATGATGTTCCTTTTCTGAAATGCCGTGTTACTTTTATGCCAGATGTAATGGGACATACACCTTCCAAAAAGTTCAACTTTTGTCTCGTCAGTCCACAGTCAAAATACTCGTCAGTATTTTCCCAAAAGTCTTGGGGATCATCAAGATGTTTTCTGGCAAAACTGAGACGAGCCTTTATGTTCTTTTTGCTCAGCAGTGGTTTTCGTCTTGGAACTCTGCCATGCAGGCCATTTTTGCCCAGTCTCTTTCTTATGGTGGAGTCATGAACACTGACCTTAATTGAGGCAAGTGAGGCCTGCAGTTCTTTGGATGTTGTTCTGGGGTCTTTTGTGACCTCTTGGATGAGTCATCGCTGCGCTCATGGGGTAATTTTGATCGGCCGGCCACTCCTGGGAAGGTTCACCACTGTTCCATGTTTTCGCCATTTGTGGATAATGGCTCTCACTGTGGTTTGCTGGAGTCCCAAAGCTTTAGAAATGGCTTTGTAACCTTTTCCAGACTGATAGATCTCAATTACTTTGTTTCTCATTTGTTCCTGAATTTCTTTGGATCGCAGCATGATGTCTAGCTTTTGAGGATCTTTTGGTCTACCTCACTTTGTCAGGCAGGTCCTATTTAAGTGATTTCTTGATTGAGAACAGGTGTGGCAGTAATCAGGCCTGGGTGTGGCTAGAGAAATTAAACTCAGCTTTCCAAAGATGTGATAAACCACAGTTAATTTATGTTTTAACAGGGGGGGCAATCACTTTTTCACACAGGGCCATGTAGGTTTGGATTTTTTTTCCCCCTTAATAATAAAAACCTTCATTTAAAAACTGCATTTTGTGTTTGCTTGTGTTATCTTTGTCTAATATTTAAATTTGTTTGATGATCTGAAACATTTAAGTGTAACAAACATGCAAAAAAATAAGAAATCAGGAAGGGGGCAAACACTTTTTTACACAACTGTATATTATTACCTCGGCCTGTACATAAAGCAGATGCAATGAAGCGCATACTACACAGATACACCCATACTCCTACTGACAGCCATATTGTAGCTTCTTTATCAAGCAACAAGACCCCCCACTGCAAGTTCTCTCAGACCCGCCAAGGCCTAATGATGACGGGTGTAAAACTTCACAGCTATTTATGTAAGCAACATACGGGGTCAGAGAGAGAGATGTCGATGGGTTAAAGCAAACTGTCGTCTGCTAAAGAGAATACAACATTCTTAAATTTACTATCACAACACTAAGTTTGTGAGAACACCTGTGTGAGTGGACCGTGGCTGTGTAGGGCCTGTAAAAGTAGAAAACTGTGGTTTTAGGGTAAGCTAACTGGTCGGACTGAAGTGTACTGACCGACCACAGCTAACTACGGGAGCACCTGCACGTAGCACCTCTGAGAAGGCCCGTCTTGATTGTGAACTCCCCTCGCTAACCAAAGAAAAAAAATGGCAGTGACTTGTGGCTACCTCACTGGCTAACAAGATACTTTTGAAATGTCCATTTTTGCTCTCGCCCCCTTTACAAATTATGCTTGCAGCTTTCTCCGCTAACAGTGCTAAGCTAGGTATACGTCCTGAAAGCTATCAAACTATTCCAACTTCCTGACAGTCAAGAGGCGCATTTTCAAAAAATGAATTCTTTAATGCATCATGTTTTGGTAAATTAACTCGTTGTTTGCCTTATCTGTTTCAGTAACAACATTGTAGAACGCTTTAGCGTAATGCTAAGCTATGTTTAATGACTGTATTTAGCTCATTTTAGTTTCAAAGGTAAAACCCGGTAGATATGTATCCGGTGTATGTGGCCAAGTTTATACAATAACAATAAGACGCATGTATTCAGTTTTCATTAAGCACGTTTTCATCTGGTCTGCAAGCTCTCACTTTCCAACTCGCCCAACATGTACATTCTGCTAAGGAAACAAGGGAAACAGTCCTGTTTAGCTCAAAATAGTTTTTTAAGGATAATTTGGGATCAGTTTGATGTCATAAATGCTCATGGCATACATCGTCTGTAAAGTCTACACCTGTGCATTGCATACTAGAATGTAACTAATATGGAAAGTTATGATATTCCTTCTCTAAAATGTTCCTGTTTTCTCTTTTTCTTTGTTTTATTTCTGAAGGGCCTATATGAGTGTGAAAGAGCTGAAGGAGGAGCTGCACCTGAGCGGCAGCGACACGCTCAATGTTTTCTTTGCCAGCAACTCGGTACGAGAAGAGCTGGCAGGAGCTGCAACGTGGCCATGGGCGAAAGAGGCTCTTACCCACCAAGGTAAGTTAAACTACATCAAACTATTGTGAATTAAATATAACTGTCATGTCGTCTTTATTTCCATTGTACGGTATTCTCTTTAAACCATTATCTCTTTTCCTCTTTGCTTCTTTATCGGATTTGTCAATATTCTCTTTTTTTACTTTTTTTGATTCATCCCTTAATCTCTTCCCTTGCCCTCCATCCTTTGCTGTCTGCTTTGGGGATATGCTAACAAGTAGAGCAAGTAGAGCTGGCAGGGATTTCCCCGGCACATTGCCCCTTTCCTGTTCCAATCATTAGGCCTCTTTCCACTGGAAACGGCTAATCAACCCAACAACAACCAAACAAACAAACGGCAGTGTGGGCTCCTTAAAAGCTTTTTTGGGGGGCAGGTTTTTCCTTATCCAAAGGACAGAGGATGATGTGTGCTGTACAGATTTTAATGTGATATTGGGCCTTATAAATAAAATGGACTTGACTTGACCAGTGTACCATTGTTGCCACCAATGCCTAGCTGTTCTTTATTCATTATTATTATTGTGCTAGTACAAAGTAGTGAGTGGAATCAAAAGTAGGACACACGTGGGCTAGATGTACCTCCAGTGGAAGCATTCATCATTTAAAGAGCCCTGTAACAAACGAAATGTGTGAAATACTGCTACTTGAAGCATTTCCAGCACCTTGTGAATCTCTCAAAAAGTCAGTCCGTCAGATGGGTTCCTAATCACGACAAGTTCAGTATGTTTAACTTAAATAAACAATGAAAGCTTCGTCTTGTTTTATATATCCTACACAAAATACAGATGAAATGACTAGTCGAAAGATTTTACGATTGAGAATTCATTATTTATTTATCATTGAAGTACATTTTTCCAGAGGATTTTCTGCTTTTCCTTAGTTTATATGATTTGGAATCTTATATTTATCCATTTTTTGACGGTCAGATTAAATAAGCTGTTTTATTTAGATTTGAATGTCACTTTGAGCTCTGGTAACTTCTGCTGGGAAGTTGTTATTTAAAATGTAAAAGAACAAATTGATAATTGAGCAATCAAAAACGTAATCGGTTGATTCAATGAAAGTAATTGTTAGCTGCAGTCTTATAAGCAAAACACAGGTGGAGTTTTACAACCACATTACACACATCAAATTAGCAATTTTATGTCTAAAATTAGAATGAAATTAGGCCAAAATGATTACGCAGCAAAATCTAAGCACAACAACAGTGCTATTAAACAAAATCAAAGTATATTTAAACCAGCTTTTAGCACATGATTAAGTTGTAACCCATTGATTTAAAAAAACCTGATAGAAAGAAGAGTTGTTTTTCTTTCTTTCTTTGCCAAACCATTTTTGTTTAAAGTTGAATAAACAGATGTTTTTGCTCACGGAGGAGCTGGACAATAGCTCCCTGTGAACACAGGGTGTCAAATAACGTAATTCGACTTTCCCTGGATTTATTGTGCCCAGCTGCTTTTTCGAAAAAGCTTTAATTCCATTTTGGGATAATAACTGTAATTACATAATCTAATATGTTGTTGTTCTGTGGATGTATGAGCTGGGGATAGATATCAATTATATAGGAATGCTTAATGCTCCCATTCATATTGTCAGAGTAGAATTAGACTGTTGTACTGAGTTCTCTCCTTTGCTTCAGTCGCTCAGCATCTGTCCTTGTTTAAACAAGTCAGTAGATGACAAGACCGGTCCGGAGGCCCTGTTGTTTAGTGTCTTCGCATTTAACGTCTTCATTGTTCAATGTCTTCGCCACGGAAATACGCTGTTTCTAATTACAAAACCAATCGCTGTCATGTCTGTTCTTGATTCTGTAATTATCAGCATACTCCGTACCTCCACTCAGAGGCTGTTCTCGTAAGAATGGCCCCAAAGCCACAGCTGATTTTAAAACGGATTTCTTTGGAATACTTGATGATTTGTATTTTGATTGAGTCTTTCATTAAAGAACATTTTTATTTTTATGTATGCATTATGTTGTTCTGTCAAGAAAACATTTTTAAAGAAATCCTGCGACCAGATCCACACCTAAAAAAACTAATTCTGACTTTCCACCAAACTGAATAGAGATCTGGAAACATATTTTGAGATGTTTTAACTACTGGACACATCAACAAACTAAATACACAACCTCCGAGGCATGAGCAAGGGGCAGCAGGATCCAAGCACAAAGGGATATTGCAGAAGAATTTAGAGGATATTAGTACACAGGTTTAAACATGTACTTCAGAGCAGGGTCATTAGAAAATGAACTTCATGTGCTTATGGAAACATAAAGAAGCTATGTTTCCACTGTGTTCTTCCATTCAGTCTTTCTGTCTGCTCGTTAAAGAGTGCTTTCTCCAAGTTCTATGAACCGTTCATGATTAGACCGGAGGCCTGATTTTCCTTCCGTTTTCTCGTTGTGATTCTGCTGCATCTTAAACACACTCATATAGTCTAGTAGTTATCTAGTTATATCGGCTTTCTCCATTGTTTATCAGTGATTTTGTGCTTTAGTTCATCTAGTAGTATAGCTTATTGCATTTTCAGTGGCATAGGTTGGTTCCGAGGCCATGGAACTTCTTCTTTACTAGTTAGACAATGGTGGTAGGTGTCAACTATTAGGAAAATGAGGCAAAATGACGAATACAAGGTTTCTGCAGAGCGTTCCTCTAGATTCAGAGCATGTCCACCCGCAGCCACGTAACAGTATCCAGTTTCCTGTTTTTGGTTTAAAGTACTTAAGTTTTACTGCTTTTCTAATTGGTTTTAAATGTCACAGTGCTTACTGTTTTTACAATGGAGGTTTGTTGCTCTTTTGGAAATTCTGTGGCAGAGAGTCAAACTGGAGCTGAATTGCCAGACAGCTGGTGGTTAGAATCTGGACTTAACAGCAATACCACATTAGTTTTGTTGGGCGTGTCTTGCCGTAAAGCACTAAACCTGTTTGAGGTTACTTTTGGAAATCACATCAGAGTGATGGAATGAGGTGTCACAGTTTTGCTATTTTAGATTTGTACCTTGCAATGGCGCAAAAAAAATGAATCTCACTTTTCCGTCACTTGAAATATTAAAAATAGTCTTAACAAAAGACAAAAACATTGAGATAGTAATAATATTATGACCCATTTGAATTTTATCTTTTGTCCTCAGGTGGGATGGTGCTTAACCCGTCCTACTTTGGCACCATGGGCCACCACAACACCATGATCCATGAGATGGGCCACATCCTTGGACTGTACCATGTCTTCAAGGGGGTGAGCGAGCGGGACTCCTGTGATGACCCATGTCAGGTAAGACTGTTCAATCGTCTCCTCTTGATAATACTTACAAGTCCTCCAACACATATAACCATATGTGGTTGTTTGTTCTGACCAGGTGGCAACCTCTGGTTCTGAAAAGTGAAGCCGATGTGGAAGTGCCCTAAACCTGCATTCTTTTTAATGTCCATCAGGGGGCGACTCCTCTGGTTGTAAAAAGGGTTAGCATAGAGGGATTGTATAATGGTCTATTAGAAAATAGACTCTACTTCCCGTCTACTAATGACTCTACTTCTCACTTCATTTAAGACTTCTTCAATACAGCATGATGTTCATTTAGTAAATTATGGTCAAATAGACCATAACGCAGGGTATGCTTTAGGGCGGGGCTACACAGTGATTGACAGGTCTCTATCACGGCGTTTTGCGGTCAGGGTGTTGTTCGTGTTTTTTGTCTCAGAACTTCAACCCTTTCACAAAGTGTTTTCACCTCAAACAAGTTAATTGTCACATTTTGGTCATATAAAAATGTCTTATTCAGCGTTTGGTTGTACTTAGCTCCACCCTCTCGGGTCACTTCTGGCTGCAAAAAAACAAGCCGGCGACAGCGATCTCCGAGGTGAAAGTCATATGTTTGTTTGACCCATCTGTCCACACCAACCGCATCCCTGCTTCGTCGCTCTTCAAACCATGTCACCTGACTTCCGTCTTTGGTCCCGTCGTGATTAGTACAGCCACTAGAGGTCGCTGCCAAACAACAGTTAATATGGGTCATAAGTAACACACGGCTTGTACGAACAACCAATGGGCTCGTTTAATATGACAACGGTTTTCCCTTTGCAAAGCTGTACTGTACTCACTTTTTGTTTCAAATGTTTATTGTTCGGTATCATACAGTATATTGTTTTATCAAAAATGCTACTGTATGTGGGAAAGCGTCTACACTTCTAACGTTCTTTATATGAACTTCTTTCAATGTCTGCTGTCTGTAAAGTACATACATTGAGCTTTTCACTCTTCTGTGATCATTTGCTAGTAGTTCTGTCATATGCACTTGCAGGAGACCACCCCATCCATGGAGACAGGAGATCTGTGTGCTGACACCGCACCAACACCCAAATCCAAAGCCTGCCACGACCCTGGAGCCGTCAATGATACCTGTGGACTCACCATGTACCGTGACACACCTTATAGCAATTACATGAGTTACACAGGTACAGTGGATAATATAATTAACAGTAGATGTACTGTCAAGAGATGTCGAAAAGAATCATTGACCCACAGAAGAAGTAGACTGTACACTGTACAGAAGAGCGAGGACATAAAGTAGACTCTATGTAACATCCTACTGCAAAATCACAAACGTTGCTTTTTTGTGCAAGACAAAATTCAGGAATACAAAACACATGGTTCTTGATTACAACTTGGTCTTGAATCCATATCATTTGTTGGGGACATGTTATGACATGTCCTCATATCAGGTGAAAAGACATGAGGCTCTTATAGAAAGTAATGTACCTCTTGACATTTGTAACACACAGCCACACAAGCAAGTACAACTACGACATATACTTCATGCAAACAACTTGCATTACTTTTTAAAATTTGTTTTGTTAGGACTCAGCTGGCTAATTTAAGATTTTTTTCGGTGATCCGTGATGATTACCTGGAGCTTTTCTTTGCATTGCACCCCGTCAGATGACAACTGCACCAACCATTTCACACCCAACCAAGTGGCCCGGATGCACTGTTATCTTGACTTGGTCTACCAGAACTGGCTGATGGAGCAGCAACCTGCCCCCATCCCTCTGGCCCCTATAGTGACGGACCAGAGTCCGGATTCTGTCTCAATCTATTGGCTGCCACCTATAAGGGGACCACTTTATCAGAGGTACGATTGCATGGGTTCTTCATTTCAATGTTTGACTCTCCACATTTAGTTATGTCTGTTATCTGCACTATATTGTTCAAATGTGTTTTCATTTTTGAAACTCATCAGAGCCCAAAAGATCTTTGGAAAATATGTCCACCTGTTGTTGGGTGGGTGGCAGTAGCTCTGTCTGTGGAGGTCTTGGCTTGGGAACCAGAGGGCCATTTGCTTGGTTCCCCTTATTGCTGCTTGCAGTGTTGTCGGGGGGGGGGGGGAATGCAGAAAATGACATGCTTTACTCAGTCTGCAGAGCCTTGAAGCCCCGCCCCCGCTGTTGCACAGAGCGCTGTTTGCTTGTTTATTCAAAGTTTATTAAAATTGTTGCGTGTCCAACTTTGACGCTGCACGTCCTTGGGTCCCCAGCAATACACCCACCAAGTGTGAAATAGATTAGATGGACAGTTCTGGAGCTATGTGAAAGACACACAGACAGACAGACATTCCTTGCTTTATAGGCAGATATGTTACTATTCGACTCATGCAACGCATAATGAACAAAGGATGCACTTGCCATGAGTGACAACAATGCCAGAAATGTGTTGCCTCTTTACCGTCATGCAAGTAGACAATTGAATGACAACTTACATGCCAGCTAAGTTCCACCATATGCACTCTTTTCTGAACGACTCAAGCCAGGATGGACCTGATTCTGCTGAGACAAAGGTGCATTCAGTGGCTCCTCGTTAACAAGTTCAAAGTTTGTCACCAGAACATTGCCCCCAGATGGATTACAAAATGGTACACCTTAGATCATCTTGGGGAAGGGAACTAAGTTTGCAATATGAATTGTATCATAAAACATGGCGGACACGTAACAGTGTAATAGCTAGTGAACATGTAATGAGAACAATCAGGGGAGTTAATGCCTGCTTCTACCTCCCAGTATCTTTTGGATTGGTTCATGTTTCGTATTTACCAGTGCACGATGACCACCTGAACAAAAACACTTAGAATGTCACGTCATACTCTCACTTCATGTGTTGATTACATGAGCAATAAACAACTGGCCCGTGTGCAACAGATGAGGGGATTCTCCACATGGTTATAGCTCCAAATCATGCCAAAAGACGGCTGCATTTGAAATGACGTTGGCCTTGTTGGCCCACTGGAAGGTATTCAGGTCCTGAATGCTCTACAAGTCATCCCCTCTACTTTACCTGTGTGTCTTCAGATTTCTGAAGTTGGTCCTACATTATTGTAGGGCTGGTCTTAAGAGAGACACATTTGTGAAAGAAGATGTTTCCTAATCAGCAACCCTGTTCCCTTATGTCCCAGCTCCTCCTTCCATGTGTCTGGTATCAACTGTGGAGACTGTGAGACGGACGGCATTTTCCACCAGTACGCCTCTGAGGCCACCTCACCTCGCATCTGTGACACGTCAGGCTACTGGACACCCGAGGAGGCAGTTGGTCAGTCAAAAAATCACTATGTGTGTCCAAAGAGTGATCTGGACAGGATCAACCTTTCTTAATGCACCCCTTGTTTTTTATACATTATTTGATCAAAATAGATTATTTTTCTACGGTTAAATAATGGCCAAGTTGAAATGAAAACCAGTAGAGGCAATTGTTGATGTCTCCTCTTTCATCCAAAAAATCCTCAGCATACTGAGTCTGATACACTCTTCTCTTTCAATAATTATTGACAGTGAGGAATGTGGCGGTCTTCAGGTTTGTGTCCTTGAGTTCTACTTGTGTCTCTGGTTTACACACACACACACACACACACACACACACACACACACACACTTCTCTTCCTTGTAAACTTCAGGTGCGTGCGAGGCTAATGGCTCCTGGACGAGGAAAAAGCAGAAAATTATTAAATGATAATTGCCCTCAGCTACAGACTTCTCTGTCTTGTTTTAGCCAAAGCGAGAACAAGGATTATTAGGCGAGCCGTCTACTCGGGTAATGTTTGGGTGCTGTTCAAACATTGAACCTCAGTCATCAACAAAAAAGCCCCCCCCCCAACAAAAGTGAATCTTGTAGCACTGTAGTGTGAAACATTACGCGTCATGTTAGCACATGGTCCTTGTTATTCCAAATAGAATTTCTGCAGAAGCCCGGGTTCCTTTGGCATGAGACGTAGAGTAACGGAGGAAAAGAAACAAGAAGGAAAAAAATAAAAAGGAACACAAGGAAGCAAACAAGAAAGCAAAGAGAGAGAAAGAGATAGACAGAAAGAAAGATCTTACGAGCACAATAACACTCTCGTTCTCCTCCGCGGTAACTCTACCCAAGAATGTGGAAATCCCCGGCTGGAATTTACACTTTGAAAACAAGCGGCGAGGAGGAGCAGGGGGGATTAGGGCTCCCTCTTTGTCGCTGCGGGACCATAATGATGATAAAGAGTCAATTACAGTCTTACTCTAAACAGTGGTATGCACACAGCTGAGGAGACAGCCAGTCTGCTGGCTTCCCCGGCTCCTTTTCACTCGCTCCCACTTCTGAAGAGGACGATGCACGGGGTCACTTTGTCAGCCAACGGAGACGGGCAATATCTCCCTCAGCAGGGAAATTCAATGCGGATATCAGGGCTTGCAACACAAAATACAAGTTTGATGGCAAAACACTGTTGGCTTGAATTATTAGAAAAATTGTCCTTTTACATTTCCTGACAATGTTGCCTGTGCCACAACGTTGACTGGTTCTTGTTTTGAAACCTCTTGGCCTGTTTCAGGAGCCTGAGATCCCGCTGAGAAGGATTCTATTTGTTTGTGTGCTGCTTTCAGCATTAAAGTGGTTCATAATTCAAAATGAGAAAGTTTAAAGTAAGTGCACTGTAAGTTCACTGTACTGCAATTTGTATCAAGATGTGAGTAGAGCGAGGGGATTAAGGTTGAGAAGTCCAGACCTGTACGGATGGAAATCTAATATCACATTTCTAAGCCGACTGATGGATGAAGATGGAAATGTATAATACGTGAGGAGGAAATGAGTTGTGGCCGCAGCAAAAGTAATAATTTAGAGTAAGAAGTAAAGAGTCAGAAAGAACATAAAAAAAGATGTACAGATGTACAAGAATGTAAAAAAAAAAGCCTGGGATAGTTGACAGTGTAATGCTGGTGATAAAGTATTTTAATAAATATCTATAACTATTCACTTTTGTCCTGAAAGTATTGAAATACGATACATGGATGGATGTTTGCATCCATCCATAATGATGTATGGATGCAAACTCCATATATCTATATACTTGACCATCATTGGAAATCTTAAAGCAGTCATATACATTTTTTAGCCACATGGTGGCGGTGGAACAAGGAAAAAAACACTTTCATATATTATGATCTTCTAAAGTTGTTATAGCAAACATGTTAGCGAACAGTTTTATACATACTCGTCTCTCAGACACAGAGCAACGTCATCATCCCATTGGTTGCGTGGTTTGCATGGACATTTGGCTCGTTGACTGAAGCTAGTGCTTCATTCATAACGTTGACCAGCAAATTAGAAATCAACATTTGAATGCTGCCCAGTCCAGACAATATACAGTATGCCCTCATCACAACCGCAAATCATTTTAAATGATGTTTAGTCTCTCAGAGACTCAGTATCAGAGACTTAGTCTCAGAGACTCAGAGACTTAGTCTCTCAGAGTTCAAGTCTGAACTCTGGAATAATGCACGATGGAAAGCATTGGATTGACATTGACTGTTAAATATTGGCACACAGCCCGAGGCCATATTCTGGGACATAAAGCTGCTGCCAGAGCCTATAGGCTTGTGTCTCCAGAACTAATGGTATGATATTGTGAGGACTGGACTAATTAACAGGCAGCAGAGCTAAAACGCAATCTTATATTTAATAATTTTAGATTTTATATTCATCGAAATGAAATTACAAAATGTGTCCATCATTTTGTCATGCCATTAAAGCCAGATGAATATCATCACGAGCAGTACATCTACTCTGTTAAACACTTTCTGGACCAGGACCCCCAGACTTGTCGTTAGATTGTCCCACCCTCATTCTCAATGCTTCCTACACCCATGGCTTCAATTTGTTGGTGTTTAACCTTTCAAAAACAACATTTTCACTCCGGTCAAAAAACTGCTTGCTGGAGAGCAAGGACACGCTGGAGAGCAAGGTCACGCACTGATGAGTTATATTCATTTAAGAAAGTTGATTTATAAAAAAAGACAAACTCATTTAATCCGATGAATCCCTGTATTCAAACTGAGGATTTTAAAATATATTTTAGGGTGATGATGTCATAAAATATGACAACTAACATTCAAAGCTTCATTCAAAAACTTCAATAAAAGCTTTGAGATAAAAATAAACACATTTGGTACATCCTTAACTGCATCCAAAAAAGTGATGTTACCTGAATTTACGAGGATGATATCAACAAGCAAATTGAGCAATGCGTAGGACGATCTTACCAGACTCTAGCACATGTGGCAGACATGGCTGATCTTTATTAATATGTCTAGCACTTCAGTTGCTGGAAAATGTAGGCAGCTAATGGCAACAGTTTACAGTTCTGGTTCATTTTTTATGCCAATTTAGGCCGATGTCGACATCATTTAACTGGCGTTCACATGGCAATCCACTGTGCTTCAGACGGTGTGAAATGTGTAACACCTCATTACCATCAGGATTTTTATTTGGCTTTCTGGGACACAGCTGATAATAAAACTACTGTAATGTGATTCCATCGTGCTAATCACTAACACTGTAACAATTATCAACTCATTTTGCCGGGTGTAATGGTGTTACTATTGCGTTTTGAATGCTTGCCATGTTTTAGGTCACAGAGCAGGACTTTCTTTCACACTCAACTGGAAAATTCTGCTCTTTCTTGTTAATAATGTGAGTGGGTTTGCTGGTAACTGTTAAAAGTAATACTGAGACCTTTGTTAAATAGAAGTGGGCAAGACAAACAAAAAGAAAAAACATCTTTACAGAGGAATTATTTATTAAGACTAAAACTCCACTAATCTGCTTCATCAGGACTGTGTTGGTGTGTTTGATCACATCTGATTGGAGGAACCATCTCCCCGTCAACATCAGGAAACCATACCACAGCTGTCATCATATTCAAATATTGCTACATTTTGGTGCACAGAAGTAAATGACATCACCGATACTTCAAACCAGTAAAAAGAGCGCTGAGAAAATCAGAATACTGAAAAGTCTCAACTGAAATGACCAAAATCGTCCTAACTTTGGCTAAAGATTGTGTATCAATGTAGGATCCCCTCGTTAGGAGTAAGAAGCTGAATGGAAAAAGAGCCGATCGACCGGTCGAAGTAAATGGCTGCCAAACCAGAGCCCGGTTCTGCTTGAGGTCTTTGCTTGTTGTTACTTGCCACTGTTGCTCGCTCATGGTGGGACTTGTTGGGTGTCTGTAAATAATATTCTAAAGAGTCTGGACCTGCACCATGCCAAAAGTGCCCTGAGGTTACTTCTGTTATGGTTTTGCACCATACAAATGCAATTGAGTTGAATTGAAAAATGCAATATGTGATGAATGAAAGATACACTAGCTGCAACTAACGATTCATTTCATCATTGATTAATCTATTGATTATTTCCTCGATTAACAGAAAAGTTGTTGAGGCCAAAAAAAAGTCAATCCGTTTATCCCAAAGCCCAGGGTGACGTCTTGTTTTGTCCACAACTCAAAAATATTCAGATTATTGTAACAGAGGAGTGAAGAAACCAGAACATAATCACATTTAAGTAGCTGGAATCAGATAACTTTGACTTTTCTTTTGCTGAAAATGACTCAAACCGATTAATCAATTCTCTAAATAGTTGGCGATTAATTTAATTAGTTGAAAACTGATGGAATAATACATTGGTCATTGCAGTTAGGTAGCAAGTCGAGCCACTGTCTAAATCTGATACACAGGTGAATGTTAAACTGCCTCTGCACTGTACTACCGTGTGTCTGATTGGAATGTACATGGTCACCAGCTTTAGGGTCATGGAATGGATGAAGACATGAATATTGATGCGTGTGTCCGTGTGATGTCGTTGAACCCCAGGCCCACCTGACGTGGAGCAGCCCTGTGATCCCAGCCTCCAGGCCTGGAGTCCCGAGCTCAGCCTTTATGATACCAACGTGACCTCACCGTGTCCTGACACGGAGGGCTGCACACTCACGCTGAGGTTCCTCCACCACATCGTTCCACACAAACTTACACTCTGGGTCACCTACGTCTCTTCCAGTAAGTATCACTCCATCACAACCAGGAGGCAACCTCCGGTTCTGCTGAGTGAACCGATGGTTTATGTCTTAAAACTTGCATTTTCTCTACTGTCCAGCAGGGGGCGACTCCTCTGGTTGTATAGAAGTCTATGAGAAAATGACTCTACTTCTCTCTTGATTTATTACCTCAGTAAACATTGTAAACATGAGTTTATGGTCTCAATCTCTAGTTTCAAGTCTTCTTCAATACAGCATGATGTTCATTTAGTAAATGATGGCCCATTTAGAGTCACACAGACCATAAAGCAGGGTATGCTTTAGGGCGGGGCTACTGTGATTGACAAGTCGCTGCCACTACCAGAGACGTATACGGCGTCAATTGACTACATTTACCATCAACACTGATTGGACATCCACATAGGAGGTAGCAAATTTACTCTTTGGTTTTGTAACCAGTCCCGATTTTGTGATTATGTGTTCGATTTGTAATCGATTATTATATTTAATGAAGTGACAAAAATGTTCCTGGTTGTAAGATCCACCTCCATCCCCCAACCGCCCTGTGTGCGCTTTAGTGGCCTTTATACTTTATACTTGCTATAAAACCAGTAGTCTGGTGCCACTGTCGACACACACATAAATCTCTGCACTGCCACTGATGTTCAGAATGACAGACATACCAGCAGACACATTTAGCATGATCTCTCTGTTTCCCCGTCCCAGACAACCCGGCCCTAGCCAACGTGGAGCTGATAACAGACGCGGGGAAAAGCATCAACCTCGGACCCCAGCACGTCTTCTGCGACATGCCCTTCACGCTGCGCCTGGACACCCGCGGCGCCGCCATCGTCGCTGTCAAACTCTGCACCTTCGACGAGAAGATGGAGATCGATGCCGCGATGTTGTCCTCAGGCCCCGGCAGCCCCCTGTGCTCCGGCTGCCAGCCCCTGCTGTACTGGATTCGGCGGCAGCCGCCCTTCACCGGCAAGACCCCCTCGCCTCAGACCCGGCAGACGTTCACTGACAGGTCAGTGACAGATGTTGTCAGGGTGTTTGTAGAGGCAAAATCACTCTTACTGAAGATGATCTTACATGACCTTGTTTTGCAATAATGTCTCTAAGGTGGACACATTGTAACAGTGACCCCAGCCTGGAGAATAAACCCGAAACAGGTAGATGCAACCGCAATATGTAATGGGAATCAATTACCCAGGAGTCCCTCTGAGGCAAGGTCCCCAGTCTGGTTTTCTCTCAGGTGCAGATGCTGGGTACACACACACACACACACACACACACACACACACACACACACACACTGCCTCGGCATCAGCAGCTTCAGAGGAAAAATAAGACTGAGGATCACAAAAATAATGTTATTTAGGGACACAGCATTGCATTAGCACACACACAGCATTGCCTGTGTGTGTGTGTGTGTGTCCTCAGATCTGCTAATCCACAGTTATCGGTCTCTAAAAGAGTGTTTGGGTCTGGTTCTGTTTGGAAATGTTTCCAGCATGGGGATGTGGAGCTGAGGCTACTGATCCAAATCGTTTCCATCAAGCAAAAGCATTCTGAAGTTTCAGGGCTGAGGTTGAATAAGTTTGTCCAGCGTCCCGTCTCGTGTTGCCGGGTGTCCAAATGATTAACAGAATACAAATGTAAAGCCACAAGGCTTTTGTTTTTGATGAATCTTACTAAATAGCTGCTGGGACATGAGAGTTATGTCCCAGGATTGCTGCTCATTTTGGGCTGAAGTTCAAATGTTGTGGCAATTTTCTAAAAACAAAACAAAACCTGTGGCTCTCTTACAGAGCAAGGTAGATGTGAGGTGGACACAGCTTTAAAAAAAAGAGTTTATTTTTCAGCTAACACGTCTCCTGCGTTACACAAGCTGGGTCTAAGTGCAAAAAGATGTAAGAACCGCTGGGAATTGAGTTATGTGGGACTGAGTAGGGCAGAGAGGGGTTGATGTGAGGAGAAGAGAGTGTTTGGGAGCAACGGGTTTGTAGACGAGGGAGAGGAGGGAGAACAGATGAAAAGGAAGAGGGGAGAGGGGAGGAGACAGAGCGGGATTGGAAAAGATATAGATACCGCGTACGAGAGATGCAAAAGAGAGAGGAAGAGACGAAATGAGGATATTGTAGGTGAGGAAGGGTAAGAGAGGACTACAGCTACAGCAGAGTTTGAATATGAACAAAATGTGAGTGATTCGTCCTGATGAGCTCTGTGGTCAGCGTGACGAGGACAAGACGAACTGTTGAACCAATCAAAACACTTTATTTCTTGTGTGTTTTTGTTAATCAGGTATCCTGATCACCCCTTCGATCACCCCAACAAGCGCTTGTCAGCCCCCTATTTTTGTTAATGAAGTTGAGTAATTTAAGAGGGAATCAGGTATGTCGGGAGGAAAAGATGACCTAAAGCCCACCATGATTATCATGAAGAGGCCTCCAGAGGGAGAGAGCTGTGGCAGAGGGCTTTGAGACGCAGCACAGATGAATAGAGAAGGGGTGGGGGGGGTTCAAATCCTTCGCTTCCTCCTCTGATCCATAATTAATAAAAGGGAATCCGTAGGTTCTGGAGATTTCTGCTCCTCCTGGTTAACTTTGGCACCAGGCGGATTCTGAAACACCAGGATGAGGGCTCCTTTCATAGACTCAACTCACTGAAAACAGATCAATAGTCCTGATACTGGAGCCTCGGTATCGCTACACACACTTCCTGCTGCGGTGCTGTGAGGTCATGGCATACAAGGTTACAGATAGAAGCCACTGGTTCCCACTGCGATCCCACGAGCCACTGTTCACCGTGTCCATCTGCAAATACCATGCTTCCTCTCTACACGGCACCAAATACCATGCTTCCTCTCTACACGGCACCAA